ACTGCACTCAGAAAGACCTCCAAACTCTTAATTTTAACCATATCTTCTATTCTATACCTTGCTTACTATAATCAATATTTGCACAGGACATTTCTTTCCTTAATTTATGTCTTAAGTCAAAGGTTACTTTCACATAGAAGTCTTCTATAACCACAATATCTGTGTGTATCCTCTACTACCACTCCTGTTACTTAACTTGTTTGAATTTTTCAAGGCCCTGGAGATACTAATATATTCTCTCTCTCTTTCTCTCTATCTCTCTCTGGAATACTTATTCTCTCTCTCTTTCTCTCTCTCTCTCTCTCTCTCTCACACACACACACACACATTTCTTCATTACATTATTAAAATGTAATGTACATAACATTTGCTCTTTGTCATCTTTTTCACCTATTTTTATAAGTTTTTGGCATATAGTAGGTATTCTATATATACTTGTTGAAGGAGATAAGTAACTTGCTTACAGTTGTTCAGTATTTAAGCTATTGCTAACAAGTAGAGAGAAATAATGACATAATGATAACAGTGTGTTAGAATGATTCATCTGAAGCTAGAATTTTAAGTGGATACTACATAAAACAAATAAGTAGAATCCAAATATCTCTAGTTTCTGTGCAAGAGACTATTTTATATTTATTTTATTTATTGGGGGGTACTGGGAATTGATCTCAGGAGCACTCAACCACTGAGCCACATCTCCAGCCCTATTGTATTTTATTTAGAGACAGGGTCTCACTGAGTTGCTCAGTGCCTTGCTTTTGCTGAAGCTGGCTTGCAATCCTCCTGCCTTGGTCTCTGGAGCTGCTGGGATTATAGGCATGTACCACCATGCCCAGCTATTTTTATTTTTAAAGCTTCCCAAGGTTTTCTGACACTCTTTCTAAGTTGGGACCAACACAATAAAGACTTGGGAATAGGAAATTTCAAGTGGAGGTTAAGAGAGGAGAAAAAGATTTGGGTGTTGAATAATGGGAAATAATAATTAAATTTTTTCCTTCTCAATACTATCTTATTATAAAGTTCTAATTATTTGATATTCTGGTCCATCTGAAGGACAGAGTAAGCAAGGAGACCAAAAAAAGGATTGGGTATATATGTCATAAGATTGTATTACTATGTTCAAATTCTTACCTATTGGAGGCACTCAATAAAATTTGATGGATGGAAGATTGTAGTATGCATTGTATGTATATGGTTTGATGATGTGACTAGTATATTCAGAAAATGGTTTAGGTATGTTCAATTCCACAATAATAGAATATAGCAAAAGCAACCACAAACTAGGAAAGCCAAACTTTGCTAAAAACTGCTCTTAGGAAATAAAGAATACCATGCTGCTTTTGTTACTATTGTATAAAGGCATGAATTGGTGTGAACATACTCTATATACAAAGATATGAAAAATTGTACTCTATATGTGTAATAAGAAATGTAATGCATTCCACTGTCATGTATTTTAAAAAATAAAATCAATACAACTAAAAATAATAATAAAATAAAAGCAATGAAAGGTTCTCAAAAATGTGATAAAAAAGAAATAAAGAAAAAGTGAGGTGGAAACCCTATACAACATATGCCAGAAGGTTATAAGAACTCAAGAAAAACAAAGAGCTCATATTTTGAAATCAAGAAAATAATAAAAGAAAAAAAAAGATTTCTTTAACTTGAAACCAAGGGAAGTAAGTGCAAAGACAGTAAAAGTAGTACTAAAGATAAAATTAGTGGTGGTTTTCATCACAGAACATCTAATATGCTTATAAATCATTTTCCAAGAACAGATTCAGATGAGTTCAGAAAAGCATGAAATAAGTTGGTGACTGTTGAGATGAAGTCAATTTTCTAGGAGTGCTAATTCCAGTCTGAAATACAAGTAAGTTTAGGCTAGTAATTCCATGTCTCAGAAGCCCTGCATGTTACAAAAAGAGGCATGCTGCATACCTAAGAGGGAGACTATGGATATGATCTTCAGCTCAAATATTCCATTCTAATCTTATGACATGTTTAAATTTGGGAAATAGACTCAACTTGTCACAAACCAACCAAAAAAAGGGAATGGTCTTTTAACCCAAAGAGATTAATTTCAGATTTCTCACGGTGACCAGTTTTTCCAATATGAGTTTAAGTGGCACAGAGGTACCAGGACACAGACAATCCTGATTCAATTAATTCAGCTAAATTTAAAGAATGTGACTATGAGTATAGCTCAGTGGTAGAGCATTGTCTATTAGGTATGAGGTTTTGGGTTCAATCCCCAGCACTGGCTTGGGTGGGACAGGAGGCAAAACACTTAAAGAATGTTTGTATATCAAATTGGTCATTGCTCCATAGTGCATCTTGAACTGTCATCTGTACAACACTAAAAATGTAATCAGAGTAAATCTAGACCCTTATAGAGTATTTTAAAAATAAAGCTGTTTTGGTCCCAAGCACTTTGAGCTACAAATTAATATCAGGTATGTTTGGTGCTTCCACTCTAGTATAGTATATTTTTATTCATGTGTTAAGGCAGGATGACAGTGCTACATATGCTAAGAAGTTCTTTAAGACTGAAGCTCTACAGCTTTACAAACCTGCCATCTGAAGCATTTATTTAATTCTTCAATCCTAATACTTGACAGTGTGACTACTGATTAAGTGTTTTGCTTTCCTCACTGCAATGAATAAAGACAGATCTAATTTTTGCCCACAGACTTCTCCCAGTATATCAAGCAAATAAATAACAGAATCTCTCTCTCTCCACTAACTGGAATCTGTTTGAGGCATGAGAAAAACAAAGATATAAATACAGGATTTGGAACATAATTTTTCTGTGGTGTTTTGATACTCAACACTAGTTCTTTACAGAATAAACATTACCTCTCTGCAGGACAACATCCTGTTGTGCTAGGACTATTCCCAAGAGTCTCATTAAGAGAGGTGGGCAGCCAGGGTTTGGTTCCTTTGGTCCACCCAAATCCAAATGCTACATTTCTAATGTTTATTAACTTCTCAATTATCTTTTGTATTTTGAAGAAATGCTAGTTCTAAAAATATACCCTTTCTTCTATTGAAGAGACTCAGAATGTACTTGTCATATACATGTCTCTGACTTTAAATTTGAAAATGAGAAAGTTTATGTATCATAAAACTTTATTTTTATAGATCTGATTCATCCAAATTATAATTAGTCTTCTAATCTTAACCAAAAGAAACTAAAATATTATTCTTAAATCATAAGAAAACATGAAAGTAGAAGTGACACAAACTCAACCAAGATGCAGTTACAATTTTATAACTCTAAAGAAATGAACTGAATTATGTCAACTGTCAAAGTATACATAACTAATTTAAACCCAATAAAAAATAAATGAATAAACAAATAAAAAACATAAATAAAATTCATAACTAAAGCTGACATACAACAGCAGCTGTCTTTTTACAATTTTAAAAATTACTGAGGACCCTAAAAAAGCCTTTACATGGGTTATATCAAAATTTACTATATTATAAGTTAAAACTAAAAATTTTCAGAACATTGGGTAATTTTAAAAACATATTAGCATAAATTAACATTTTATGAAAAATTACTGTTTTCCATAAACAAAAATATTAGTGAGACAAGTGGCTTGATTTTACATTTTTTCAAATTTCTTTAATGTCTTAATAAAAGAGAACTAGACATCTGCTTCTGCACTCCATCAGCTACAATGTGTTGTTTTGGTTGAAGTATAGGCAGAAAATCTTTCCTTGCACATAGTTGGAAAAGGGAGTATTTTAATAGTCTTTTTAGATAAGTGTAGATATTCTCCCTGGAATCTACAACAAATCTCAGTAATTAATAATTTCTTAAAAGGCAGTTACAACGTGGACTATGTAGCCAAATCACTAAATTTTTAGCATTAAATCACATTACATTCCTTAGTCTATTTGGCACTTTGAATTAATCTTCTATCCACAAATGATCTTATAATTTCAGGAATTGTTCATAATAAAAATATGAGTTATACAGATCTGCCAAAATGTTAAAAAATGTAATTAAATAGTTAAAATTGCATTTGCTAATATCAGCAACCGTGTTATTAGAAAAGTATTTATCAACCTTTATCAAGTCATCAAGCCTAAGATGATGAATTTAAGTTTTCCAAAAGTGGAGTTCTTACTTCAAATCTTTAGTTTTACCACTAGCAATGAATATAGTCAGCTGCTTTCTGAAGTGATTGCTCCAGGAAGAAAGCTTATGCTTTAAATTTTTTTCCAAGAAAATGTCTGCCAAATGATGAAATCTAAAAAAAAATATAGTTTTAAAGTTTCTTTCTAGTAAAAATACAGTCTTAAATGAAGACTATTCAAACAATTCAAACACTGCAGAACTAACTACCTTTCTCCAGGTAAACATAATATATCAATATGCTACAGAAATGTTTATGCCTATTTCCCCTTTTGTCACTCAGGAAATTAAAAAGACATATACTCAAAAGTTGAGATTTAATAAAATTAAGGTTTACTGCATCATCATAGACATTCTTACAGGAAACTGGCTTTTTTCATGATGAGTGTATGGTAAGGAAGAACTCAATGACTACTAATTCACTTTGCTGCCACCACCTCAATTTGTACCAAGGCACGAGGATTTTCACTTACCATTAGCAGTACAAATATTAACACAGTAAAAAGTCAAATAACATGAGATCATAGAACCTTACAGAAAGGGTCTTGGAGACCCCCAGATTTCTGCAGGACACTGTTTGAGAGCCACTGGCATAGATAATTCAAGATGTTAAAACAGGAAATATTTTATCACACTTCTTAAAAGGAAATTTGTAGTGAGATGTTTCATATCTTCTGCTATTCAAGATGCACAGTGAAGACTCATGAACATTCTAGAATAACTAGTTGCAATGAAAAAAAGAAAAAAAGAGGGTTCTGAACTTTTTTACAGCAAAAAAATTCAAATATTTTATATATATGTTAAAAAGCACTTACAATTAGATTATACATATTACATATTATCAATGTCTTACCTTAGCTCTAGAGGAACTGACATTTTCCATATTTTCAATGCTGCAGATACAATTCTGAGAAACTTTCCGGCAAGCCACTCTGATATAGTCCCAGAAGCTACGAGGACTCTCATAACCAAACCAGGTTACTTGACCTTCAGGAGATAAATTGTAATACAAAATAAAAGAAAACTGGAATAGAAAATAAAAAATACAAGAACAATAAAATTCTGAAAAATAAAGAATACTATAGTGTGCTAATGTAAAAGGGATATGGATTTAGGTGTTGAAAATTCTGAAATCTAATCCCATTCTACCTTTAGTTGTGTTACTTTGAAAAACTGACTTAATGAGTCTGGATCACAGTTTTTCTTAACAATAAAATCAAGGCAAATGAAATTAAAAGGAATTAGATGCTAAAAATGTCTTGTAGCTCAATATTTTATTATCTAAGACAGTTTTACAAAATGCACAAAAGACCTTCCTTATGTTTCCCATATATGAGTTAAACATGAATTTAAACATCTCCAGGTGAATTTTAAACCTTACTTTGAAAAACAGAAAAAATACTGTCAATTCTTTTCTCCCTCTTTATAGGTTATTTCAAAAGGTGAAACAATGTATTCTCTATCCAATAAGCAAATAAAATCAATTAGCATCCCATATTCACTGATAATTCACAATCTTCTACTAAACATATTATAAAGCTCCCCTATGTTACTCATTTGCTCTCATCTAGTCACTAATCCATGACAACTCTAGGTATTTCCCATGCTCATCTCTCAAATTTGGGTAATTATGTATCTACTTATGACCAAATGCTCCACTAGATGTATGTTGTATTAATATTTCTACGTAGGGCTCTGAGTAGTCGGTTCATGAAAGCCATTTTTGTACTTATATTTTTAAGTGGGATATAAGAGACATCTTTCTTCATTTGTCTGCAGTGATAAGTCATCTTACCCAGGGAAGTTGCTTAAATCTTAATATAGAAAGACTTGCTTTTATATTTTAAATATGTGCCTCTTTATTTTGAATTATTTATTCATCTCAAACCTTTCCTTTTCTAGTAATAACTTCTTTCCAGAGACATCAAAAAGTGTTCCTGTCAGCAAGCACCATTTTAGAAGCAATGTCTAAGATGCTATTTGAATGGTTCTCAAGGGCAGCACATCTGAATAACTGGATTGCCTTTAGAAATACTCATCCCTGGTTTTCCTGCAAACTGAATAATCAAAACCATTAGGGGAGGGCCCAGGCATGGGTGTTTTTTAAAATGTTTCCCTGGCATTTCTAATGATGTACTGATGGTTAATCAAACAACAGAAATCCAAACAGTCGTGATTCAGCACTCAGGACATCTAAAAAGCCCCTCTCTTCCAGTAAGCTGTGTGAGAGCTCTACAATTAGTCCCACTGGTTGGCACAGCACCCTGTGCTTACTCATTATATTTTTTTTCTTTACTTGATTATCTCACATTAGGTGATAAAATCACTAAGGCAGTGATTGCATCTTATTTTCCTTTCAATCAATTTCCAGCACTTCACACCATGTTTGGCTCACAGTAGGCATTCAATAAATTACTTATTTTTTCAATAAATAAACTGATAAATAAGCACAAAACAAATCATCTTAATCACAATGACCATAAAACCTTAAAATTTTAAAGTATTTTCATAGTAAGTTTTGGTGAGAATCTGGTTTTGAGTTGTCTGTATATAGATTACAAATATAAAATATTTTGGACAAACATATTTACCTGTGTCTACATATAAATAAAAACACAAAAGCACATGTAAATCTTTATTCAAGTAACTAAATAATTCAGTATCTCTTTAAAAATCATATCTTACTACTACAAATAGATATCTATAAGTATATTTAAATCTCTCTTCTTCCTCTTAATCTCTTTCCATCATTTTCCTTTGGCCACTCTCTTCTCTGAGGTAAAAAAATTCCTGATGCTGGATGCGGTGGTACACATCTGTAATGCTAACAGCTCAGGAGGCTGACACAGGAGGATAGCAAGTTCAAAGCCAGCCTCAGCAAAAGCGAGGAACTAAGTAACTCAGTGAGACCCTGTCTCTAATAAAATACAAAAATTGGGCTGGGGATGTGGCTCAGTGGTTAAGTACTTCTAAGTTCAATCCCTGGTCTTCCTCCCAACCCCCCACCCCAGGCCAAAGAAAAAAAAATCCTGGTATAATACTTCCCTATAGTTTGTCTTAGGATGCTTTTCAAGTTACTCACCTGTTAGCCCTCTGAAGGACTGATACAGGGGAGTAAGGATGCCTTGGAGGTTAATAACATGGTTTTTTGAGTCAGGTAGATCTTAACTAGATGGAGTTCTAGTTATGTGATATTGACCAAATAACTTAAATTCATGGTATAAGTCTGAGCCTCTTCTATAAATTGAGAATAATGCTAGCATCTACCCGATATCATTAGGATTAGATGAGACAAAGTAGCATTGAGCCTGGTTAATATCAAATATTAGAAAAGTATTCATTATTGCTTCTGTTATTACTGTTAAAAAAAGTTCCCCTTGCACCACAAACAAATAGGAATAATATGCAAAGTTAAATTTTTCTCATTACTTGCTGAGAATTTAGACAAAATTTTGAAATTTACTTTCTAATCCAACCTTCCACCATATCAACGCTTCCAAATGTATCTCCTCAAAATGTTTTTAGTCAACTAGTCTTCCTTGCCTTTCATTTTCTGGCAACATTCTATAATTTTTTCAATGAGAGATATAGCTACCAAGAGATGCAATACTACACACTGTCAGAGAAGAAAGAATCATAAGAATTCTCTGCTAGAATTAAATCTCTGTAAAAGGCAATACGGGAGACAAAGTAAGAGAAGCAGGCAAAAAAAAGGCAACACTGTATTAACTAGTGCAACCACCCAGAGAGGTAAGCAAAGAGAAAGGTAAAGCAAAGATTTCCACACCAAGAATTTCCTTTGTAAGGAAATAAATAAGAGCCTAGCCCTTTTGCATAGAGGATGATTTATTTTCCTATAATACAACTTGAAAACTTCTCAAGAGCTCCAAATGTCTGAGGAAAATAATTTGTAAGTTTTAAAGCATAGCTGTCAAAACTCTAAAATATAACAAAGTCCCATTATGGAGGAAAGGAAACAAATCAAGGCATGGGTTGAACAAGAAGTGGGCACTCCAAACCCATAGGACTGGTGCTATGGGTAGGCTACACTGACTATAAGACTTTGACCCAAAACATAAGGGCAAGATTTCCCAGATTACAGTCTGAGAGACTAATTAACAGATGGCATATCATCAGGACTTGCAGGCCTTAAATAAACCAGATTATCTTCACAACACTTTTATCAACTTATCAACTCAACACACAAGATGTAAGGATCTTTCTTCCTGGTCCATGTGCCTGCAACATTTCAAAATGAGAATCTTATTCAAGACACTGAACTTTTAACATTCAGAAGGATGAACTTTAAGAGAAAGTAGATTCCCTTCAAATAACCTCTCATATAAATTTTCTACATATCCCAGAATTTTATTGAAATCATTCTACATCTACAGGGAGTTAAATTTAATTAAATATAACAGTAGTGCTCAATTGGTTATTTCAGATATTATCATTATTTGAATATCACTTTTGCTTCAACATAGATTTATTACTAGTAAAAGTTCATAACTAATTTTTAACAGGAAGAGTAAAAAACCAAAGCTACAAGGTGATCTTGCCTTATTTAAAAATAAAGACTGAAGCAACAAATAACCACTCCTAAGATATTTTCATGTTCTTTAAACATAACCACAAAAGCAAATCAAATAGCAAGAAACTATTTTATGTCTTGGAGAAATTTTATTCTAAAGATGAGATACACTATTACTAACAATTCTCTTTTTAAAGTTCTAGATGAAGACAGATGTATAATATACTTTCAGTTATAAGTATTCTTAGAAGTTGTCACTATTTACCAAAAATTTTGCAAAACTTACCCTCAAACCATCAATCCAATTTCAGTTAATTTTAAGCAGAAATATGTGGTGAAAAGTTCGTTGAACTAAAAGACAATCAGTTACTGACAGCTATGGTGTATTTCCCACAAAAATACCTCATTTTCAGTATCAAAAATGATCTGTGGCCAGGCAAGGTGACACACGCTTGTAATCCCAGTGGCAAGGGAGGCTGAGGCAGGAAGATCGTGAATTCAAAGCCAGCCTCAGCAAAAGCAAGGCGCTAAGCAACTCACTGAGAATTGTCTCTAAATAAAATAAAAAATAGGGCTGAGAATGTGGCTTAGTGGTGGAGTGCTTCTGAGCTCAATCCCCAGTACCCACCCCCCAATCAAAAAAAAAAAAATTGGTCTGTGATCTCTAGGGTCCAATGTTACTCTAAAATTAACTTTTCTATACTCTAAAATGAGACATGTGTTCATATCCTATAAGGTATCTGTGCTTTCCTGTATCTTGTTTTGTGGCCAAAATCAGATCTTCTATAAACAGAAACTAAATTTTTTATAGTTCTCTACTAAACAGTGGCTAACGACGAATCATCTTTTAACAATGTATCAGAAAATATAAATGAATCTGTGAATTGACTTCCTTTCTCCACTTTTTTAATGATAAATGAAGCTGGTCTCATAACTTAAGTTCTATATTACCTACATAACAGTAGCAAAGACTATTACCTTTAGAGCTTATGTTTATCTAGACAAGGTATGAAGAACAAGCTAGTCCCACCAAATTTTAACAAATTGATACTGTAAAATGTTGTAGATACTTAAAGGAAATTGGTTACTTATGGTATTATTTTGACACTGTATTAACATTTAGATATTAAGCTTTTAATTTTTCACTTTAAATTTTTTTATAATTTTTATTTTTGTTTTAATTATACATGACAGTAGAATAAAATTATATACTTCAATATATCATACATAGATGAGATATAATTTTTCTGAGTGTACATGATGCAGAATTACATTGGTAATATAGTCACACATACACATACAGTAATAATGTCTGTTTCATTTTACTATCTTTCCTATCTACCCATCCCCTCCCTTCCCCTTTCATCACTTCCCTCTACCTAATCTAAGGTAATGCTATTCTTCCTTAGTGCCCCCTGCCTTATTGTGAATTAGCATCCACATATTAGAGAAACTA